GGTTTCCAGACCAGTTACTGGATTTTTTATGTGTGAGGCACTGAGGCCAGAGCTGAAATTAAGACTCAGTTCTTCTGCACACTTAAAAGTGGTTAAAATGGTAATTTTTATGTTATCTATTTTATCACAATTTAAAATTAAAAAAATTTAAAAGCCCTGGCTGGTGTGGCTCAGTAAATTGAGTGCTAGCCTGCAAACCAAAAGGTCACTGGTTCAATTCCCAGTCAGGGCACATGCCGGGTTGCAGGCCAGGTCCCCAATAGGGAGCACTCAGGAGGCAAGCACACATTGATGTTTCTCTCCCTTTCTTTCTCCCTCCTTTCTCCTCTCTCTAAAAACAAATAAAATCTTTAAAAACAAATTTTAACTATTTTTAACTTTTTCATTATTGTTCAAGTACAATTTTCTGCCTCCCCTCCTTTAAAAACAAAATTTAAAAAAAATTAAAATGACTTAGTTCTCACCATTAAAGACCTCAAGTCCAGAGAGAGAGAAGACAGACACAAAGCACATTTTTATTGTAGGGGCTCACCCATGGTAAGACAGGGCAAGCCAGAGAACCCAGAGCCCTCTTGGGTCAAGAGAAACTACACTTCGCTCACCTGCTCACCTCATCCTTTCTCCCCGCTCTGAGCAAAGCTGCTCTGGACATAACCGCCCGGCACACCGTCAGTGGGGCTGCCAGCCAGCTCCTCTTGCTGCCCAGACACGACTATCTCACTTCTCCAGTCCTGCCACTTCACAGGACTGCTGCTCAGACTCATGCGCTGTCTGAAATGTTCAAGCGTGTATTATTGGGTCACTAATGCACTAATGTATGCTTTTCTTCCAATTTTTATTGATATAAAAAGCAATATTATAGCAGCATTTAAAAATTTAACCATAATCTCACCACCTGATCACATCCAACCACAGCAGTCAAACCCTCAGACCAAATACCTTGCTATGATTCATGACTCCCCCATCTCTCACACCCTGCTTCCAATTCACCAGGAAATCCTGTCAGTTCTCCCTTCAAGATATGTCCAGAATCTCCCTGTTTCCCGCACCTCTGCTGCTGCCACCCCAGTCTGAGTCACTGTCATCGCCCCCTCCACCACTGCTACGGTCTATTGTAACTGGACTTCCCGCGCCCAGCCATCTGTTCTCCACAAGTGGTTGGAGCTGTCCTTTCAAAATGTAAGTAAGATCACACTGTGCCTCTGCAAAATCCTCCAATGGCTTCACATGATGACCCACTGCTCCTTGACCTCATCCTGCCGTGGTCCCCTGGACTCACTCTGCCCAGTCACAACACCCCTTTGTGGTCGTATGTTACATGGTGAGCCTGCTCCTGTCCCAGGACCTTTGCACTGGCTGTCCCCTCTGCCCGAAACACTTTTTCCCCAGAAAGTCTCATGAATAGCTTCCTCACCTCCTTCAAGCCCCTATTCAAACATCATCTTCTACTTAAAACTGGGATACCCACCAACATTTTTTAGCCTTGTTTTCAATTTTTTCTATAGCACATATTATAAAACATTGTAACACTATAACATATTCTAACATATTATATAATGTACTCCTTTGTTATAATTATTATTCACTCTCTGTCTCTGTCCCACTGGAATGGCAACTGCCCCAGGACAGGTATTTTTTGTCTGTTTCACTCATCAGGAACAGTGTCGGGCATATAACTAAATAGTTGTTGAAAGAATGGTGAAAAAAAGGACGCATTCACGAAGCAACACTCTCCAGTCCCAAACTCCCTGCTTTTCCCCCTGACTGGTGTGGCTCATTTGGTTGGGCATCATCCTGCAAAGCAAAATGTTGCCAGTTTGATTCCCAGTCAGGGCACCTGCCTGGGTTTGGATTTGGGGTTCATGTTTCTCTCTCACATCAATGTTTCTTTCCGTCTTTCTCCCTCCCTTCCCCTCTCTCTAAAAATAAATAAACAAAATCTTTAAAAACATAAAACAAACAAACAAACAAACAAAACCCTCCATGCTTTTCTGGGCTCCAAACCTGGAGAAAGACAGGGACTTTTCTCCAAAAAGTTCAGAAACGCTTCTTAGACCAGGGTTCCTTCTGTACTGAAACATGCCACTACAGCATAGGGGACACTTTTTATCAGGGAAACCTAGATGCAGACCCGGGACCCAATGAAAATTCCATCTTGGTTAACATCTGGTTGGAACAAGGTCACATACCATGAGGTGGTTGAACCTCGTGATCCTTCAGTCACCAATAACTGTTGCTCCCCCCAAAAGGATCATAAATATTGCGATATTTTAGCAATCCCAGTCATTTAGTAATAAAAAGTTCTTTTTTATTTTCCACAGGAGCATCGATTGGCCTTTGCCATTTGACAGATACCCTGTGTGACACTTAGGGGAGATTGGCAAAGGCACACCCTGAGGTCACATGACACTGTAGGTGTAATGGACACAAACCAGAGCACCTCCTGGGCCCAAGGCCCCAGCGGTCCCATCTCTGTCCGCCCCTGCTTCTTCTAGCAGCTGCACCCTCTGCAGACAGACGCAAACTCCACAGACTGGAGTTCTTCCCTGGGCCATTTTTAAATGCTTCTGGCTGCGTAGAGCTTCTCTCCTCACAGACTGTTAAACCACAGGACATAAAACAAAAGTCCACTAAAATAAGAATATTAATTAACTAATTAATTAGTAAATGAATGAATGGATTTCTAAATCAAAGTAAATATATGCATCAGAAGAAAAATCTCAGTTCTGAATCCCAGCCCAATAGCTGAGTCAATAGCTATATCAAAATCTCAGTCAATAGCTGACTCTCTGGGAAACAAATCTAACTACTGTTGAGTTCTACATCACCTCCTCATGAAGTGATTGTTAGAAAAACACCAATGCCAACTGTCTACGTGGGCCCTTCCCCGTAACACGCTGGACCAACCACAATGACCCAGAGCCGATCACTGATCAGCCTTCCACTAAATGATACAGTGATGGTTCATGGATTTTTAAAGTATACAACCAAAAAGATATTTTTATCAAAAAGTTATCACTTTCTTGCAATAAGCTTTCAGAAATATTTCCTTTTTAAGTTAAATAAAGATTTTTGCACATGAATTTGATAACCTGGTAACCTAACAAAAGGGTTACTGACTTGATGTACTATGGAATACTTGGTTTCACTCCACAGAAAACATATAAATAAATAAGATGTGGCGATTCTTAGTTACTCTATACATCAACAGTAAAGAAATATGTAAGGATTTTCTGCCAAATAAGAATTTAAGAAAGAGTTAAGAATTTGTCCTTTTTTGAAGTTGTGTTTCTTTATTTTATAAATTTCAGGACAAAGATGCAAATGAAAAAAATGTGTTATTTGCTTTTGTTATTTATTTTCATCAATATTTAAATTGGAAGCTCCTTAAAATCTGATATTGAAAGGAAAGACAATCAAAAGAAATAATATAAATATCCATCAACTAAAAGTTTGGTTAATGTACAGTAAATCCATAAAATTTAACACTGGGCGGAAGAGACTTTATTCCAGTCATGGATCTGACTTTATTGGCATGACACTGTGTTTCCAATGCAGGGGCCAGAGTGGCACCTGTAATGCGCACCCAGGGACGTAAAGTGACAGATTTTGTTGCTCTGCTTCAGAGCCTCCAGTACTTACTCTCTCTCAACACTCCAACCCCTTATTGTTATTACTCGGTTCATATTTAATGTCCCTGCCAGACTGCGTGCTCCATGAGCATTGGAACCCTCGCTCTGTAGCCCCCACACCTAGACCCTGGTTTGGCACATGATACATGGTCAGCAGAGACCTCTTGCTGCTGGGGAAGTACCTCCATCTAAGGAGAGGAGCTTGAGCTGGATGATCCCCACTTCCTTTCCAAACTGCTGACAAATTGCCTGTTTAATCCTCTGCTCTAGAACTTTGTCTAGGATTATCATCAAGCCTATGGAATTTGCCATTTTCTAATTATGAGTGTTTGTCTTCTTACTCATTTTGGTTCTCAGTTTGCATAGTCTCCCTAGTTAGACTGTCAGCTCTTTGAGGCCAGGGACTGCGTTCTGTGTTGTTCAGAAAAATGTTCTGCCCAAAGTGGAGGCCTTCTGAGAAACTGAATAATTTCAGGTATCATTTCCTAAGAGATCAGGAAATTGGAGTCAGTATAACTTTAGAATAACCCAACCTCCCCCTTCTATGACCAGGCACCATGGTCGGTTCTACGTCAATCAGTTACCACCCACAAGCCCCCAACCAGGGACCTGGCCTGCAACCCCAGCATACGCCCAGAATGGGAATTAAACAGAAGATCTCTCAGTTCACAGGCTGATGCTTACTTAGTCCACTGAGCAACACCAGCCAGGGCTGGAGCCAGTTCTTTGTAACTCCAAGGCCCATGCTTTTAATCACTTGTGACCATCCCTCCACTGCCCCAGCAGTTGACAGTCCTTCTTTCAGGGAAAGAACGGGCACAGATGTATCATGTTCATCTTTTTGGCAACTTGGTGCATAGGAAGGATCCTTGGGAGGGCAACTCTCTAAGCTGATCTCCCCAAACTTTGTTTAGACAGTGACCATGAAGGCTATTAGGGAAGATAAATTTCTGCTGCCCTTGGCCCCTGGACAAAAGCAGAGGAGAAGAAGCCCTAAACCCTACTCAGAGGCCTATAAACAGCCACTTTAAAGTGCCTAAGTCAGGAAGCCTTTAGAATCTAGATAATGCACACAAGTAAAAAAGGCACAGACGGTGGAGAAGACTTGAGGGAATTACTGTAAGAGAACAGGGAAGGTGTGGTTGTCTCCAGTCTGACTCCAAGGACGGATGAATGATGTTTGGCTCTCATTACAAGAAGACTCTGGTTGATAAATACTTTCTGGCATTTCCTTGCTGATTTCTCAGCCTCACACCACAGGCTCTGACCACAGTGGGCCACTATGCACATGCACATTACCTGACTCAGGCTGCTGGTGACTCACCAGCTCCCCTTTAAATCAGGGCTGGATACAAGGCAGCAGCTGCTCGGGGCAGAGGCCATGGCTCACAAGCTCTGCGGCTCCTACTGGCTGTTGGCCTGCTGGTTGGTGGCAACTGTGGCAGAAGGTAAGGGTTTTGTTTTCATTCTACTATGGTCCCATTAATCAATAAGTTGTATGAAAAGGTAAAATTTGGCTCCATGATTATACATGTCCATAAACTGAAAATATTTATGTTGGCTTCTACCAGCCTGTGTGGTTAAAGAGGAAGAGGCTGAATTTTATCATTTGAAGACTTTGGTCTTCATCTCACCACTAGCTCTGTGACTTTGGACATACTTAACCTCTCTGACATCAGTCTCTTCATACGTGAAGTGACAGTATTAATAATATGCATTATGATGGGGGGATGAGGACCAAATGAGCTATCATGCAAGAAAAGCTCTTCAGGCTTAAAACACTGTATGAATATGAGTTACTATTGCTCTAAAGCTGAGAACTTGCCATCCTGGGTTGGAGCAATGTCCACCTCTTTCTATCCCCAGAAGCACAGTAATTTGCACATGGTGGGTGTTTAGTCTCTGTTTGTCAACTACTTTAATTAATCACATCTATTTACCTGTGTGTTGGGGCTCCTCTGGTGAGCAGATTTCTTTCTCTAGGATTACATTAGATTCCATTTCTCCCCTCTTCCTATTCTTTTCCCTTTCCTCCCCTGTGAAGCTTCCAAGTGGCCTGAGCCTTCAAATTGGTTTACAAACACCTGAGGAAATGACAGACAAGGACAGGGAAAGGAGGAGAAGGGGCAAAGGGAGGGGAAGGAGACCCTGGGAGACCTGGGTCTGATGTCTCGGTTCCCCTCAGTTCTGGAACTGGATGTGGTTCAGGGACTAGAGACGCTGGAGTCAAAATGAATCCTTCTCCCATCACATGCCCCTGGCGGCTTTGCAGAGACCCAGCCAGAAGTTAGTCACCCCCAACAATTCCCTGCTTTCACCCACCAATGCTCACGACAGAGCAGGGAACAGAGCTGCTGGGCAGAGCTCCAGACCTCATCCTGAGTCTCTGGGGGAACTCCAGTGACCAGGGGGGGCAAGGGCACACACAGAGACCACACCTAAGTCCAGCTCGATCGAGTCCAAGACAAGACCCCCAAGTATCACTTGCTAAAAGTAGCATGGTAATGAGGCACCATAAGACAGAACTAGCCACCTTCTTTCCAGAAAGTGAACCATTTGTCAGGAAACTCTGTAACTAAACAGGTTCTAATGAAGTTAGAAGTTTATTCATATCTAAGAGAACACCAATTAAAATGTAAGAATTGATTTCTGAACTTGACTTGCTCTTCCCCTCTGGCCCTCAGACTGGCATCGACATCCTTTGAATGTAGCTCCCCTCTACCCAGGCAGCCCTGGTTCCCCCTCTCCACTCCTACACACCCTCGCCCTCCGCCTCTCTCCTCTCTCAGGCAGGCTGTGGCTGCCTCCTCCTGTTTTCACCTCTGTTTATTGCAATTCTGCTTCATATGATGAGGTTTAAATGTCACTACAGCATTGCCAGTTTTAAAATTGCAACCTGTCCCTTTCTCCGACATTGAAGTCTACTTATGAAAATTTGTACATCACCCATGAACTTACGGCGTCTCTGTGCTTCTGAACTCAGGCCGTGTTTTATCATCCATGCATTTGCCGCAGCACCTAACATAGTAACCTGCACCCTGCTGAACAGTGATTAGCCTCTTAGCAGAGAATTGAAATAGGCTTGTGTGACTCTTTCTGGGGTCTGAATTCTTTACCTATAAAATCAGAGATTTGACCAAGGGAGCCAGTCATTCTGTGAGCCTACATAACAAAATGAGTTGCAGTTAACCAAGTTAAAATCAAACTGAGTTCAGTCATGAGTTAATTAACTACAGGATTTATACTTCTTTCCGGTTCCACTCCAAAGCATATGAGAATTTTTCTAATACTCCATGTGCCACATAAAAGAAGAACTGCATATCATAAATCAAGTATGAAGCTTACTTATCTTAAAATCAGCTGGGTCAGTTCACTATGACCCAGCTATTGTCTGCCCAAACAACCACAGACTACACATAATTATATATACTTTTTAAAAAAGATCTTCTCATCTTACTTTTTAAAAAAGTACTAGTTGTTGGTATGCCATGAGTTTTATGTCTAGACTATGATAAACCCATTTCAAATTGCTATACAAAATCTAAGCAATATTTTGGTTTAACTTTTTATTTTACTCTAATCTTAAATCTAAGTTATTGTGAATTTTCTAGGACTAGAATTAAGTACTCACTGAGCTTCACAAAAATCCACAGAAAGTAAAATTCAGACCTGCCTGGCCATTCATTCGGTTTGTCAGCTATGTCCTGAGCACCACTCTAAGCCAGAACTACCCCAGGTGCTAGGGACATAGCCGTGACCAAAGAAGTCAATAGTCCCTGACTTCATGGAGGTCCTTTGTCATAAGAACAGTACCCTTTACTCCTGTCAACAGTGCACAGATTTTATGTATAAAGTACAACCAGATGGAACCAAGAAAATGCAGCTCCTGCTAACAGAATCTTTCCATAACATTCGAGATGAATAATTACAGTAGCTAACACCTACTAAATTCATACTGTGGGCCAGGGATGTTCTGAGCACTTATCTCATTTCAGATAACACAACAAACCCATTCGATAGGTGGTATTAACTTCATTTTACACATCAGGAGGAGACTCAGAGGAGCTCAGAAACCTGTCTTGGTCACAGAGTTATTAAACAGCAGAGCTCAGGAAACCTATAACTCCAGAGCCTTTTCGACACAATGCTGTTCTCTCAAAATGTTTTTAACCTGCGTTTAAATATTTGAACTACTTTGGTCTGAATAATGTTGTCTCATCTTTGACATTGAGAACTTTGGGTGGTACATCAGTATGTCGCATAATGAGAACTACTTGCTTATTAGCCCTGAAAGATAGGAACATGGTAACTTTTGCAATTATAGAAACTGAGATTTCTGCCAATCGATGAATTCTGTTCTAGGCACTGTGCTGGGGATGAGGTCTACAGGATGTGGTCAAGTGGATATTTCAGTGGAGAAGGAATATAACCTCTGTAGAGGAATCATCTGACTGATGAGGATCACTGAAGCTTTCTCTCTTAAAAAGGATGCTAAGGAGTCTACTTAGAAAGGTAGAGAGAATTTTAAAGATAATTCTTCAAATAAACGTAGATGAATGAGAATTTTGAAGTGTCTTTGAGAAGAGTATTAAAAGTTCAGAAGGCAGTGGGAACTGAGTACAACCATGGTAAACAAAATAATTAATGAGACGTATTAAGTCCATCAAAGCTGGAGACTGTGAAGGGCATCAACCCACTTACTCAGATTGGTGACCTCAACCTTATAAGGAAATGGTAACAGTTTCCCAGACCAATCCCTATGGCTCCCACATTTTGGAACACTTGTCTAGCCCACCAGTGACCTGAAATAGTCATGTGTCTGGTCTGCTGGGAGAATGTGGTTTTATGTGGTCCTGCACACATTCTTAGGTTGGTTGATGGAACAGGCATGTTTGACCTTAAGCCCTTAGAAATTCCCAGGAGAGAACACTGAACACTGCTGGACATCCCAGAGTCAGGAAAAAAGCAGCCTGGCAGGCTCCAGGACCCCACTGTCAGATGGAGGGTGGGGAGAGTAGCCTTGGGATTTAAGCACTGAGATAAGCACAAGGGTAGGTCAGTAGGCTGACTGGTTGGTTGGTTGGTTGGTGAGTTGGTTGGTTGGTTGGTTGGTTGGTTGGTTGGCTGGCTGGCTGGTTGGCTGGTTGGTTGGTTGGTTTGAACAGGTGGATTGCAGCTTTACTGAGTTGCAGAGCTCAAGGTCTAGCTAAACCTGATCTGATAACGAAATGTCAACATGTGCATGAAGAGTAAAGCTAGCGTCTTCCCAAGCAACTGGATCCTCGGCAGAAGGTTTTCGTGTTACAAACATTCAGAACTGATCCAGTTACATAGGTGGAAAGAATGAGTAATGTGGGATTTAATCATCTTCTGTAGTTTGAAGTGTCTTAATCTAGTTTCAGTCATAGAATTTGAATACTCAGTAGCCTGGGTGATCTGGGAGAAAGAGTCAGCACTTCCTTCAAGGAACAGACATTCATTCAAATGAGCTTTTAAAAAGAGTACAACTGGAGGTGGAGTGATTATTACAAGAATGTCTCCAAGAACCTTAAGTACAGCTAGCCCTCAGTTGGACAGCTCTGAAAAGTCAAAACCCAAGCTACTTTCATCATCACTATTACCAGAGATTCTTTTTGAGAGGCCTTCCCCATTTTATAGTTTCTCAGGAAAGACTGGCTTCTCTGCTTATTCCACAATGAACTGGACAAAACCTAACGTTCCAGCCCCTTCCCTACACCTTCCACTGTGTCTTTTCGTTAAAATTATCAAATGAGTATCTGATTGGTCAATGGCCAGCCAATGAATGAGTGTCTAACAGCAGTCCAATCAGCCATAGCCAAATGTGTGCAGGACTGACCTCTCCAAGGGCTGTGGGGGGAATGGAATCTCTGCAAGGGCCTGTGAACACAGCGGGCAATAAGCATATCCAGTACAACCAAGAAACCTGAATTCAGCTGGTCTAATGGTGAGGGTGATCTAGCTCTTTTTCAGTGCCTCAGTACTCCTAGCTTCCTGTGGGGAGTTTATTTTCCCACCACTCACATTCAGCAGTCCTTTCAGGCCTATGTTTCCAGGCCTAAGTCTCCAGGGAAATGAAGGAATAATTTTCTAAATGGAAGCTAACTTTTTCATAGCTAAATAGATTAGATGATATAGCCAGAGGGAAGAACCTGACACTTGAACTTGATCAGAGTTCTCTTCTCAGACACTAATGTCATCCTGGTCCTTGGAGCTCATTCTGCTGCTGCGCAGAGAGGCTTCCCTCCCTCCTCCCAAGGGAATGATTTCACCGCTGGGGCCAGAGAGGCAGGCCTTTTGGATTCATGGAACTTTCGGGAGGCGGTGGGGGGTGGAGGCAGTTATTTTTCTTTTCTTTTTTTAAAAGACCTTATTTATTTATTTTTAGAGAAAGGGGAAGGAAGGGAGAAAGAAAGGGAAAGAAACATCAGTTGGCTGCCTCTCACACATCACTAACTGTGGACCTGGCCCGCACCCCAGGCATGTGCCCCAACCAGGGATCAAACCGGTGAACTTTTGTTTTGTAAGCTGGCACTCAACTCACTGAGCCATACTGGCCTGGACTATTTTTATTTTCTTAACATTAAGTTCTTTTTCCAGCTAATTTTCTGTATATTTTAAATAAATTCAATTTATTGGGGTGACATTGGTTAATAAAATTATTAACCAATAATTTTATTGGTTAATAATTTTAGGCTTCGGGGCACAGTTCTATAACACATCATCTGTATGGTTTACTGTGTGTTCACCACCCCAAGTCAAGTCCCCCGCCATCACCATATACCTCCCCTTTACCCCCTTCAACCTCACCCCGAACCTCTCTCCCTCTGGTAATCACCATACTGTTGTCTGTATGAGGGTTGTGCTTTTTTTTGCTCAGTCCCATCACCTTTTCCAACCCCAACCCCTCCCCTCTGACAGCAGTCAGTGTGTTCTTTGTATCTATGAATCTGTTCCTATTTTGTCTGTTTATTTTGTTCATTAGATTCCACATATAAGTGAAATCATATGGTATTTGTCTTTCACTGACTGTAAAATGCACACATACATATATATGTGTGTAAACACACGTGTACACATGTATATGTAAATATAAAGGTATACAGGTGTGTATGTGGTATGTGTGTATATAATACATATATAATCTTTATCTCCATATCTGTATAACCACCCAGATGAAGATTTAAAGAGTTCCCTGATTACTTTTTCCACTGAGTAACAACTACCCTACTCTAAGCTATTTTTTTAAACCCTAGTTTAGTTTAGCTTGTTCTTGAACTTTATAAAAATGGGAACTTTTGCTCAACATAATGTCCATGGAACGCATCCACGTGGTTGTATTAGCAACTCTTCCTTTTCCTGGCTGAGCAGTACAGTATTTCATTTGATGACTGTGCGCAGTCTGTTTACATACCTTCCTACTGATGGACATTTGTACTGATTCCAAGTTTAGTCTGATATGAATAAGGCCGCTATGAAAACCCTTGAACTAGCCTTATGCAGTAGACACACGCACTCATTTGTCTCGGGTGAACCCCCAGAATGCAACTGCGGGGCCATAAGGTGTGTCCACACGTTTCATCTCGCTGAACGCTGGCAGTTCTTCCAAACACACTGTGAGACCTCTCCGTTTCTCTCTTCTAACCTTGCTGCCCTGCTACCCCTCAAACATCTCCCTTCTGCTTTTGTTCTCGGGCCTGCTTTCTGACTTGCATTTCTCTCCCCACAGGACAAGAGGCAGTCACCCCTCCAGGAGGCTCACGAGATGATGTGGATTCTACGGACTGCCAGATCTTTACACTCACCCCTCCACCTACCACCAGGAAACCCGTGACAAGGATCCAGCCCATCACAAGGACACCCAGGGGTCCTTTCTATTTTTTTCCAACATGGAGGCCCGGAGTCCACATTGGGTTTCCAAACAGACCCTTCCTTCCTCCAAGATGCAACCACCGTTTTCAGTTCCATCCTTTTTTTTGGCCAAACAGTCACTTTATTCCACATTATAGATATTTCCCCAGAAGAAGATTCCGGAGAGGAAGCTCCTCTGAGGAAAACAGATGGAAGAGAGAAGCCCCAAACCTGCTGAAGCCAAAGAAATCAGTACCTCAGAAAAGACTATAAAAAGATTTCTGTTTTCTTTTTCCAAACTAAAACTACTGAATTTGAAAATTACCTTAAACACCACTGACTATAAATGGTTCTCATTGTCAGCAGTGAAGATATTGCTGTACAGGTTGTTCAAGTTTGCCAACTAGAAGCAATAACCACATTATTCTTATTCCCAGTATGTTATGATCACAAAATATTTATGTAAATAAAATCCCTAAATGAGTGGTTCTAGTCATTCCCATCCATACTGAGTGCCAGAAGAATCAGCTCAGTCTTCTAAATTAGAGTGAGGGGCATTTAAATAAACGGAGATTGTTGTAAACCAAATGGAGACATTAATGACGCCCTTTTATACTCACTGGAATACTTCGCAAGGTGCATTACAAAGTGAACTTTAAAAGAAATTCTAGAAAAGTGAAAGCCTTATTTAAACCATCTCTGGCGGTAACATAAATAGCAGTTATTTATTCATTTACTATATTTTATTGAGGCACAATGAACATAACATTATATAGGTTTCAGACGTACAATGTACATCTGAACGTTGTGTGTTGCCTCCTGCGCGCACCCCATTTACACATTGTGTGTAATGATTCAGTATTTGTACATGTTGCAAAAAATGACCAGTTAACTGGTCACCATAAGTCCAGTTAACTTCATCACCATACACAGTTACAAATTTATTTTTCTTTGTGATGAGAACTTGCAAGATCCACTCAGTTTTCTAACGACAAAAAGAAATGATAAAAGTAAACGCAAAACAAGGTCATGGGAAGTCCGACTATAGATAATACTTTAAAGCTATCATAAACTGAATGACCTAACCACCCAACTCTTGTTTATTATCAAAATGTACTTTAATGTTAAACTTTTTAAGCAACCAGTGCAAATTATCTTGACAAGTATCTCACTTTCTCTCCTTATCATCGTATAGATACTAGCTTAAATAATATGCTCCCACTAGAACTTTCAACATGGTTCTGGGCTCAAAAGCCTGATGAGGTTTACATGGATGTTCTGCTAACTGGAGGACTCTGCAGACACACGTGCACTCAACTACAGGAACCTTGTACTCCTGGGGTGGGATGGAAGCAAGACACCCCCGGCTGCACGCACTGGTTACTTCTTCAGTAAAACGCCACCTCCTGTTTGTGCCGCTCGTCTTGCCTGTAATGTAGACACTTGGTTTTGCACAGGCGGTCTGAGTCTCACACCTGTGCCTCCCAAGAACTAGGTGCATAAGTTACTGCTGCCGCTGCTTCTACAAAAGGACAAAAAGAACGTAAAGACGTGTGAGGTCACTGGGAATGTTGCCTGGGAAATGGAAAGGGATGGCTGTGCTTCCTTGCTGCAGTAAGACAAAAAGGAAGAAAAAAAACCCCTATCTCCTTTACTCACTTCATAGCAAATTTTCATTATAAGAATAGATATTTGCTTCCAAATGACAGGCTTCAATAAAACCTTGAAATCTTCATTAAGAAATTCTGTATTGTGTTAATAAGCTCTCTTCCTTTTTTGCTTTCTCTTTGGTTAGTGAGGCACAAGTAGAAAAGGGCCAACTTTGGACAAATTTGAACACAGAGAAAGGTTTGCATGTGACTCTCACTCCCTTTCAGAACCACCGCCTCCCCATCACTGCTCACAGCTCACCACTCACTCAGGCCCTCAGCACTCTCGCAGGAGCTCCGACTGTCCACAACCAATCTGATTTGACTGGTCTTTCTCTCCCCAAATATTAGAACTTTGGCAATCCGAAAGTTAACTGCTCTGAAATGAGTCTCTGAAGGCCTTGCTACGTGATATTCAACATCAGGAAAACTAAGACAGACTAAAGATAGACAAACAGCTTCAATGAATTAGTCATTGCACCTATTACAGAAAGCAGACTACTGCTGTTGCGTTTCACAGTGAGGGCCACTCACAAAATAATGCTAAGTAAAACTGCATCATTTTCAGCCTTGAACATGTATAGAGTGACCTATATGAAAAGCAGCCCACAACTCGAAGTAAAAGCACAGGTCTTTGTGACTTTTTTAAGAAACTGCACCTTTTGGGTTAACAAATTTTTCTTTAAAATACAGCCCTGGCTGGTGTGGCTCAGTGGATTGAGCACAGGCCTGTGAGCCAAAGGATCTCCGGTTCAATTCCTAGTCAGGGTACATGCGTGGGTTGTGGGCCAGGTCTCCGCTGGGAGGTGTGCAGGAGGCAACCACATGTTGATGTTTCTCTCCTTCTCCTTCTTCGTCCCTTCCTCTCTCTCTAAAAATAAATAATAAAACCTAAAAAAAATTTACAGTGATGCCTAGCAGGTTTACTGACTCAGGTATAGTCCTCAGTCACTAAGACCTCAAAATGGAGCTCTTATCAAATGTGTTCCTCTTAGCATGTAGGTGGGAATGGCCGCTTCTGAAGCAATGGGAGTCTGATGCAGGGGTGTGATTAACTTTTAAATTCATCTTTTGCTTTGTGGCAAAAATAGCTTATGCAAGTCTAAAGTTCTAATTATGTTAAAAAAGCATAACCTGAACGAAATCATCAGACGAACCCAAACCAAGGGACTTTCACAAAACCACCACCCTGTAATCTTCAAAAATGCAGATGTCACGATAGACACAGTTTAAAGAAGAGACACAACAACTAAATGTGATTCTGCAGCTGGCAAGGAGAAAAAGAGGTCACCATGAAGAATGCTTTTGGGACAACTGGCAAATTGTTCATGTGGACCCTATGATAGGAGATAGTATTGTATTGGTTAAGATTCATAGATTTTACTATAAGTGATATGGGAGTTGAAATTTTTTACATGCTGCAGAGCAAAAGAAATCAGTATGTGTATCATCCTTATAATTCTGTATTTCATTTATCAAACGAGCACTCAAATATTCTATTGACTAATAGTTACCACAGTGCATTAAGCAATGTCTCACTGCTAAGTGAGGCAGAGAAAGACAGGTGCTGTATGATATCAGTTACATGTGGAATCTAAAAACACATCTTACCTCAGAGAAACACAGTGATGCTCCTCTGTTTCAAGGGCTGGGAGATGGGGGTAGTGAGGAGATACTGGTCAAAGGGTCCACACTTCCAGTCGTAAGATTAACAAATTCTGAGGGTCCAACGTACGGCGTGATGACTATAGCCAGTAATACTATTCTATATACTTGAAAGTTTTTAAGAGGGTAGATTGTAAATGCTCTCACCCCCCAAACACCAGTAACTATGTGACAGGATGGAGGTCACATAGTTATGATGACTATGTGATAACGCTATGATGATAACCATTCTGCAACGCGTTAATGTACTAAATCAACACATTCTACACCTTTAACCTACACAATGTTATATGTCAATTATATCTCAATAAATCTGGGAGGAAAGCTGTATTTCACTGAAATATCACCACATATCAGGAAACAGAAGATTGCATATTATTAGTATGTAGCATTATTTGCCTTTTCCAACTAGTGCAAATTTAAATCACGAATTTTAAACAGCCTTAAATATAACCCTCTACATCATACTGTTGGCTAGCCAAAGAACCAGAAAGAGCTAAACACACATTCCGAGCAGAAAATAGCTCTCACAATATCAACATTGGAAATTTATGATAAGCATGAATTGGACTGTAGTAGTTCAACAACTTGTGGAGAAGGAACCAGCACAAACTATGACACATTACATCCGAAACCTCGTATGACAGAGGCACGGGCCCTTCTGGCGGCTGCACAACCTGGCCTCCCCACACCCTGTCCCCAGCCTCTTCCTCTCTCATCCCATCTCACACTGCTCTCTTCCTTCCTCTCTCCGCTCCGGAACGCTGCCCTCCTCGGGGCCGCGCCTTTGCTGGCCCCTCTGCCTACAACGCCCTTCCCCGGTACCCACATGGGTGCTTTCCTCACTTCCTTCAGCGCACTCATGAAGTGGCACCTCTCGGGTCCCTGACCACCTCGTCTAAATGCACAGGCGCAGGACCACTTCCTTTCCCATTCCTGGATTTGTCTTTATCCTTAGCATGAATCACATTCGGTCATTCCATACGTATTCTTAGTTATCTTTTTTATTATTTATATTTCATGTAAAACACTACATTCTTTAAAGGCAGGAAATTGTGTCTGTTTTGGTCACTCCTTTATCCCTGGGACTTAGAACAATGCCTGCACACAGCAGGGACTTAATAAATATTTGTTAAATAAATGAAATTTTAAACCTCCTGATAGTTAAACCTATTTGCTTCCGACTCAGTTTCCACATATCAGGGGAAGTCTCAGGATTTTAAATTCTTCTCCTGAAAAAAAGAACTTCTACTGAGGTGAAAAGATAAGGTACACGTAACCCCCTCAAATAAAACAGTCACTGCCCGCTGGCACATGCGTGGAACCTTCTTTCAGAAATTCTAACATGACTCTTTCTTTCACTGAAGATAAAATTTCTCTTTCAACAGTTTGTTGAAGGATAGATCAGACTGGTAACCAGAAGTAAGAGAATCCTCCAATTTAATTGACTAGTTTTGTCATTTTTTTTCAGGCTTTATTAATGGAATCTATCACTCTTTTTTTAAAAAAAATATGAGTCCAGTCTGGATTGTAAAATCTCTCCTCCACAGCCAGGCAGAGACACATGAGTTTCCTGGGAGGGCTAATTATCTGAAATGCCTTTTCAAACTGTTATTCTTTAAATATCTGTTCCATGGGTGAGGAGAAACTGATTTTCTGATAACACAATTTATATACTTCTTGGCTTATGTTCTAAATAAGAGGTTTATTATATGTTCTGCACACAACAAAAATTTCAACTTCTTAGGAAATGTCTTTCACAATTTTCCTTCACATTCGATGCTCACCCTCATGCAGGACAGAGGTAGACTTTATGCTATAACAGTCATAAATTTATGTTCAAAATGTGTTTTACAGTTCTTCTGTTTCCATATTCGCAAAGTATTTCTCCTTTTCTGCCACCTCTTTACAGTTTTCAGTGATGATTTTTTTTTAATCAACACGTTGTTATATTAAAGTCTTAATTAAATTTTAGACACAAAACAGATAGCTTATCTCCCCTAACCAACAAGAACAACTCGCCCCGCCCATTTTCACACGCCGCTTTCCAGCACCAGCTGATTGACATCAAAGATGGGACTGCGTCAGGGGCTGTACCACGTGGACTCCTGATGCTGCACTCCAAAAGTCCAGAGAAACAGCCAGTGTCAGTATGACCTGCTTTTCAAATTCCCATTCATTGTGTGCACTGACTCACATTTGGCCACTTATAGAAATCACACTTGAAAAACATCTTGCCAATGAATTCCAAAGACGTTCAGAGTCTGTTTTGGATTGGCACCTCGGAAGTGGCCTAATCAGCCTTCCACGGCCCTGCCTTTGCCCATCCGCCCACAACTCATCCTTGTGAAGCCAATTTTCTTTCATAAAAGGTACAGAGAATAAGTAGCATAGACGGTAGGTATAAAATAGACGGGAAGGCAAGAATAGTATGGGAAATGTAAAAGCTAAAGAACTTATGGCACATGCAAATGAACTAAATGGGGGGGGATGTGGGGGGTGGGGGTGCACAGGGTGGAGGGGAATGAAGGGGGAAAATGGGACAACTGTAATAGCATAATCAATAAAATATATTAAAAGCATTTCTTTCATAATTCTCCAACTTCTTTTTTATTCAGGGTTCTCAGCAAAGTCCACAGCTCCTCTCACCAGTCCCATGCTCCCACTAGCAAAGCTCTCTGCCAGTTCTGTCTTGCTGACCCAAGTCACCAGCCTACCTGCTGATATCAGGGGAGCCCTGACAACAATCAGAGACAGAGGCCGCATGTGTTTGGTCTCTTGCTTCTCACTATGCTCTAAACCCCTAAAACTCCTGGGAGACTAGACTAAGGGTGTTTTAACTATCAATGTCCACCAGGGTGCACCACTTCATTGGTGGTACCATCTGGTGGACCATCTGCTGTACATTAAAGTTCTCTTTTGCCATCAGTTCACATAGGTTAAGCACTCCTCAAAAACAAGCCCTTAAAAATTGAAAAATGCAACTGTTTATTGCATGGATAAAATGAACAGATTATACCACTCCAGTAAAATTCATCACAGGTTTTTTAGCATTTTTTACCCTTGGTAAGG